CAAGGGCGCTACTAAGGGCTCCTGGCATCGCTACTAGGGGCTCCTGGCATCGCCACTAGGAACAAGGACGCTACTAGGGGCTCCTGGCATCGCTACTAGGAACAAGGGCGCTACTAGGTTCTCCTCTAAGACACATTTGGCATTCGGGACCTCTGACCTCTAGAAAAAGGAAAAGACCATCGCACTGGTATTTGAAGTTCAAGGCCCGCCTAAGAAGGCACAGGAGGGTGTAAGAGAGCCCTTGAGGTCACAGGTTTCACACGAAACTGAGGCCTCACCATGTCGCATCGCTCGCATTTTTGCATGGTTTGGGACATTTGGACCTCCATTGCAATTGCCTACGACATGGTGTGGGCCTCAGACCGCTGAGGGAGACTGCTTGCCAACTGCTTGCTGCGCCCCCAGGAACTACCCCTTAGGCCGTAAACGCATTCTCCAAAACATCCGAAACCAAAAAGCTAAAGACTTTGACAGAGCTTTTGCCTTTTGAACCGATTCTAGCTTTTTTGAAGGAGTGTTTGATCGTGATTTTGAGGTCATGACGCCAATGGATGCCTTCACCATAGAGCTTACCCCAGCCCCATGGCGACTCCAGGGCACGACAGCTGAAAGCTTTTCCAAGATAGGCAAATCATTGTCGATACATCGATTTCATTTGGAGCAAAGTAAGTATCCCTAAAAATCTAGGAACCAAATCATTGGAGCGTGAGCTATCCTGCGTCCTAGGTAGTAGCCAACTTAGCCTAGTAGCTTACTCCCTTAATTAAGTAGGCGCCTACTAAATGAAGTAAGGGCCAAGGAAAAGAAAGAACAAGCAGAAAGTAAGTATGAATAGCTTCTTGTTACTACTAGTAAGGCACTTGTTACTAGTAGCGAGGCACTTGTTACTACTAGTAAGGCACTTGTTACTACATGTGCTTTTCTACGTTGCAAGATTGCGCTGGAAACCTCGGTTTGAGGTTGTGAGAGCCTTGGAACGAACCTCTTCCATCACTTGGTTTGTGGATATGATTCTGTCTCTTGGAGAAAACCTGAGATGAAATCATTTTTTACTGAATCAAACCGTTGTACATTTGGGTTTACACTTTCCAAAGCGACTCTTTTGACAAATTCACATGTGAAACGTCCAACGTTTTTCTTCGACCTGTCGACGTGTTTTTCCAAGGTCTTTTGTGCGCAGCTATGGCAAACTCAACGGGACTGAGGAGACTCAAAGAGCTCCAAAAAGCATTGCAAATTGTTTAAAGCATAGGAATCATATGAAATCATGAATATAGACTAAACTGTATCATTGAATGATTGGTCGGTGCTCCCATCTTCTGAGACCTTGTGCAGGAACGGCATTTAAAAGCAACAGCAATGAGTTACTTACGAACATGGCTTCTCAGCACTTCAGGAAGTTGAAGCTGCTTTTTCTTCAGATCTCTTTTAGTTTGCTACGAAAGCAACTAGAAGCATCTAGAAGCTATTAGGTGAGGCCATCGCAAGTAGGAGCAAGGATGCTACTAGGTGGAGGCCATCGCTACGAACGTAACGATGGTTTCTTTTGACGTTTTTTCTTCTCAGTTCATGGAGTTTCCCGACTGTGCAACAAACATCGAGAAGACGGTGCAACAGACATCGGGTAGTAAGGACAAGAGCTACTAGTAGCTTCTTACTCCTAGTAGCGGGGCCCTTTGCTCCTAGTAGCTTCTTACTCCTAGTAGCGAGGCCCTTTGCTCCTAGTAGCGTCCTTGCTCCTAGTAGTATGGCCAGGAGCCCCTAGTAGCGTCCTTGCTACTAGTATTGAGTTTCTTGTTTTTGGAAACAATTTATCTTTTTCACCACATTGTATCAAAAAAGAAGACACAAGCAGAACCGGCCTTAAACCTAGAAGCAAAGGCCTCCAACCTAGTAGCGATGGCCTCCAACCTCAACCTCTCAAACATTTCAGGTTCACTTTCGACTTTATCTTGGTATGCTTGGCCCGTGCCTTAATAGTTGCTCTAGACATGGCATCGATCTCTTGGGAGCAAAGCACTAGTATGTGGCAGGGCAAAGATAAGCTTTCTTCTTGGTAGGTGAAAGTTCAAGAGTCTTCTTTGCTTCTTCCTTTCTTTCCTTCCTTTCCTTCCTTTCCTTCCTTTCCTTTCTTCCTCTCCCTCCCTCCCTCCCTTCCTTCCTCCCTCCCTTCCCTTCCTTCCTTCCCTTCCTTCCCTTCCTTCCCTTCCTTTCCTTCCGTCCTTTCAGACATTTTTTCTTCTTCCTTCCTGTTTGTTGCGTTTTTATTTTTCTATTTTTGTCGGTGAAGAGAGTAAGGACATGTTCATTTTGATTGCCGAAGACAGCTCATGGATGAGATATGTGAGCTTCTTGCGGGCGGTCCGGCTCTTCCGCTTGCTGCGGGTCTTGCGGGTGGCCAAGGTGAAGGCAGGAAGCCGAGGGAGAAACGAGAACAAGAAAACACTAGCCTCCCTCTAACCTAGTAGCGATGGCCTCCAACCTAAGAGCAAAAAAAATATGAGAGACTGGCCATTGCCATTAGGTTTGATATTCAATCAGAATTCAACAAAAGGTGCCACGCTAGTAGTAACAGGTGCCTTACTACTAGTAACAAGAAGCTAGTAGTAACAAGTGCCTCGCTAGTAGTAACAGGTGCTCACATGTATCGGTCTGTTTTTCCCCAAAAGGTGCCTTAGGTCTTCGCCTCTATGAACGGTCGTCATGCTTCGACGGCCGACGCCTCTCTGAATACCTTTAAGCCGGAGACCATTCGAATTAACTCCGGCTTCTTGTTTCTAATAATGGCTAACATTGTTACTACTAGTAAGGCACTTGTTACTAGAAGCGATGCACTTGTTCCTAGTAGCTTATTAATTCTAATTATAGCTTATTGTCATTATTGTTATTGTTTTTTTGACCTTTATGCTTTCAACTGTTTCTGTGTAGCATTCGTTGTTTCTTTTCGAGTTGTTTCTTGTACCTCCTTATTCTGAAATAAAGCTTTTGAGATGCCACAAACATGAGGCCCGCATTGCCGTGTTGGCTCAGCTATTGCACATCCTTCAGACGCAGCTGGGGAGCCGAGCGATGTAAGGAATTGCTTAAGAGAGAAAACAATGAAAAGGATGCCCTGTCCTTTCTGGTCTGGGAGCCTAGAAGGACCTGAGGCATTCTAAGGCATGTCAAATGGATGCCAGAAGTGCAGTCTGAGTTGTGTCGAGTATGACAGGCCAGCATAGGTCGATTCCGTCCATTATTTTTTCTTTTGTTGCCTTCTTCAAACCTTCTGGTTACTTCTTTTTGTTCTTGGAGATAGGCCGTGCCCTTCGCATGGTTGATTTGGTTTCTTTTCAGGGAACCTTTAGACCGGAGGTGAACCCTCAGGTTGAGTCCAGTGTTATTCTTGGCCTTGTTGACCTAGAATGCCCCACTGGGCATGCCCCTGTAAGCTGAATCGCTAAGCGAGTTTAGCCATCAAGGCGAATCACCGACCGTGGCTTTCTGATGCTGAACATCGCAAAAAGCTTGATGGTCATCACTGTGATCAATCATTTTACAGCAGCTGGGCACAAACAGGCATCAATTTTGAGAAGTGGATTTACATGAGAGAGATTTATATAGCTTGTCTGGAAGCAGTACGGAAACAAGTCGTTGAGTTGTCGAGCAACGTGAGGAAGCTTCACAAGTCGTGTGACCAAGATTTCCGTGTGATTCTAGCCACCGACTCTTCCAGCAGCTGAAAAAAACGGTGCTCCTATGTGTTCCTTTGTTTCAGACATATAGCTACTAAGCTTCAGATTCCTTGCCAATTGCTTCCTGAGTATAGCGGCAAACTTGGTAGAACATTGCTTGACTTTTGAGGCATGCCTTTGGTATGCAATCGCTGTTTTCATGGAGGAGGAATCGATGGGTATCCAGTGGTTTTTCAGCAACTTTTAGAATTCTGCTAACAGGAAAGCAGAAAGCACATTAACATAAGAACCTTTTGCTAGTAGTAACAAGAAGCTACTAGTAACAAGTGCATCGCTAGTAGTAACAAGTGCCTTACTAGTAGTAACAAGAAGCTATTAGAAACAACAACAGGCGCTTTGAGCCAAATAGGCCGAAGGCGCCAAGGGAGTTCGCAGGACGACAACAATTGGGTGGATCACCACAGCGCACAGCCGGGGCGTCCCGATTCCTTGGTCTATATCTACACCACGGTGCGGAAACCAAGAGAAAGACATCTTTTTAATTAGGAGCAAGGACGCTACTAGTAGCTCCTGGCCTCACTACTAGGAGCAAGGACGCTACTAGGAACAAAGGGCATCGCTAGTAGGAACAAGGACGCTACTAGGGGCTCCTGGCCTTACTACTAGGAGCAAGAAGCTGCTAGGAACAAAGGGCATCGCTAGTAGGTTGGAGGCCCAAGGGGGGGGTAGGTCGGAGTAAGAGCGGGGTCAGTAATGGTAAGAGTCGTTAAGAGTAGGGCAGGGAGTAGCTACTAGCTGACAAGTAGCTACTACGGCTCAGGGTCAATGATTTGGTTTCTAGATCTTTTGAAGACTAAGCCGTTCTTTCTTCCTTTCTTTCTGTTCTTTTCTTTTCCTACTAGCGATGGCCTCCAACATAGTAAAGTAGCCAGATCTGAGATTTGACAATACATGATCCTTCTTTTGATCTGGACTCCACAGGCACCGTACTCCTGTCCAAGTGTGTTTGCAAACGTGCTCACTTACAAGAACAAGAAGCTACTAGGGGCTCAGTGTGTTTGCAAACGTTCACTTATATACTTGTATCTTGACATTGCGTAGTTCAACACCGCTCTCAGGCCTATCACTGGTCAATCACGCAGTTGACTCCTGCGTCCTGCGAGATTTATCCTCGCTCTTCTCGGGAACGAATCTTTAACATCGCAGTGATCCTTTTCGGGTCCTTTGAGCGAAACTTTACGATTTTGGGACCCAGTGGAATAGGCCCCAGGATGGCCCCAGGTAAGCACTGGGGGAGAGCTTGCACTTCGGAGGTGTTCAAGAAATGGTTCCTAGATATTGAGGGAACTTTCCTTCAAAGACAGAATGTCAAACATGTAGTAATTACTCGTTTTCGTGTGTGTCAAAAGACTCTTGAAGCTTTTTGAAGTCTTTGCTACTAGTAGCTTCTTGTTACTAGTAGTAATGCAGGAGCTACTAGTAGCCTCTTGTTATTCGGTTCTACTTTCGGACTGCCCTTTGAGGCTGTGCATCTTCTCCTCTTTTATTAGCTCCATGGCTCAGCAGTTGGCTGCTCTTCAGCAGCTTTCCCGGGCTGACCGCCACTGGGACCAAACAGTGCAGAACCAGACGGGAGACTCCAGCTGTAGATGACACTCCGATGAAGATGATAGCATAGTGTCACCAGTAGTCACCAGTAGTCACTAGTCTGACTTGTCTAACCCTGCAAACTGCACCTCTGCCACACCTCTTAGGCCTCCCCACCGGGGTCCCTACGGGGTCCCTGCGAAATAACCAGTTTTGACTAGTACTGTGTGAGATTAAGCTTCTGGTTTAGACTGTCAAGTTTTGTCTGCTTTCTCGGTCAAAGTTTGGTGGATTCATACGAAGTTGCGGTATGTCTTTAGTGTTGCACGTACTGCACTGTGCCACAATTGATATCCTTGAGCTTTGCTGAAATAAATAATACATTTAGAGCCTCTTACATGCACTTTCAAACAGAGCTAAAAACGGTTCTCTGTGAACACGTGTCCTTTTTTGCGAAAAGAAGCTGAGAAAGGAGATGAAAGGAACCAAAAGAGAAAGAATTACATTTTATATAAGTATCCCCAGAAATCTAGGAACCAAATCGCTTCTAGGTTGGAGGCCATCGCTCTTAGGGTGGAGGCCATCGCTTCTAGGTCCCAGAAATCTGGGAACCAAATCAATCATGCGAGTAACAATGTCCGCTATTAGAAACAAGAAACTATTAGGAACAAGTGCATCGCTAGTCACCCCTGTCACTTTTAGGATGGCTGGGGAGTGTGTCCTAGCTACTAATAGAAATGGCTTCCAACCTCCTGGTAGCCTTACCTGCTTAATAGCTACAATAGCGACTAGTTTTACTTACCTCGTACTTACTACAACAGCTACTTACTAGTAAGCTACTTGCTTCCTGTTATCGGCCTTCCCCCTAAGTAATATGTTATTAATTTTGTGACCTTTTGTATTGTCAAGGTTTTTTTGTCGAGGTCAGCGGATGCACGAGCTTCGCCGCTTCATCTCTGAGCACCACATGTCCGTGGCGCTGGCGACGACGATCGTCGACTTTGTGCGGCAGAAACGTGGGCCCATGGCGCAGCGCCCATTGAAGGCGAGTAGTAACAAGTGCATCGCTAGTAGTAACAAGCGCCTTACTAGTAGTAACAAAATAGAATTAGAATTAAAAACATTAGAATTAGAAGATAAAATGGATTAAATTAAATTAGAACTAGAATTAACATAAATTAGAATTAGAATTAAATTGGAATTAAATTAAGTTAGAATTAAATAAATGGAATTATAATATTGCATGAGAATTGGAATTAATCTAAATTAGAATTAGAATTACAATAAATTAGAATTAAATTAAAATAGAATTAGAATGAAATTTAATTTAGAATGAATTGGAATTAAGTTAAATAGAATTAGAATAAATTAAATGGAATTAGAGTTAAACTAAATTAGAATTAGACTTAACGTAGAATTAGAATTAAAATAAATAAGACATAAATTAAATCAGAATTGGAATTAAGTTAAATTAGATCTAAAGTAAATTAGAATAAGAATTAATTTAGAATTAGAATTAGACTAATTTTGAATTAAATGAAATTAGAATTAGAATTAAATGATAATTAGAATTAAACTAAATTAATTAAATTTGAATCACATTTCATTAAATTTCATTAGAACTAGAATCAAAATCGATTTAGAATGAAATTAAATTAGAATTAAATTAAATTAGAATTAATGTAAATTAGAATTAGAATGAACATAAATTAGAATTAAACTAAATTAGAATTAATCTTAAATTAGAATTAGAATTTGAATTAAGTTAAATTAGAATGACATTAAATTAGAATTAAATTAGATAAGAATTCGATTTAAATAAAATTAGGATTAAATTAGAATTAGAATTAGATCAAATGAGAATTAGCATTAAAGTAAATGTTCGCTACTAGTAACAAGGGCATCGCTAGTAGTAACAAGTGCCTTACTAGTAGTAACAAGAAGCGAACGTAGAAACAATAAACTAGTAGCGATGCCCTTGCTCCTAGTAGTGAGGCCAGGAGCCCCTAGTAGCAGCTTTCTTTTTTATGCCTGAACAATATTCAATAATCAAAAAGTCAATGTCCTTTGGGAGAGAGGAAGACTGGCCTCCAATACGTCACCACGGTACAAAGCAGAGCCTTGAGTGGAAAGACTCCTGCTTCTCATGTAGTGGTGTGTTCGCTACGTTCGGGGCTCCTGGCCGGGGCTCCTGGCCTTACTACTAGGAACAAGTGCCTTACTAGTAGTAACAAGTGCCACGCTACTAGGAGCAAGGACGCTACTAGGGGCGCTCCTGGCCTTACTAACAAGGCGCCAAGACCGCCGTGTGTTGGCTGAGACTGGATTGGCTAGGTGTCAACGTGCTAGGTGTCAAAACTGATGGGAAATGGATCCACACCATAAGCTTTGGCTATAAGTTACAAGCAAGAGATCCTTCGTCAATCGTATGTCAGTGGAACAACGTGCATGATATTTTTTGCAATCTTCACAGAAGTTGTCTGCCCAGATCAGCGACATCGAAATCTTCACCGGCTTCCCCACAGCAAGCCCCGTTTGCTGATCGCTTGCTTCGAATTCTTTTCCTAGTGGGTTCCCTTTTTTCTTGAGATTCTAGAGGCCTTTTCGTCGAAAAGCAGGGCAGAAGTTATTCTCAAGTTTGTAGAATTCGGGCCTTCAAGCACCTTGTTTCCCTTTAAATGAAGGAATACATGCACGCAAACTAGGTAATTGTATCGGAGAGCAACTTTGCTGCTTCAAATCCAATGTTGCTCATGCCACTCATGTCATGTCAAGTTCTGCCAGGTACTCCTTCAGAAAATCCGGCTTGAAGCGTACTACTTTGTGCTCTGGCAGCATTGACCTGCATCTTCTATATTATATAATCTACACAGTGATTCTTCCGGTAGCATGCAGACTGTCATTTTGTTAGATGTCATTTGCAAAAGATCACACATTGTCATGTGCAAAAAGTAGCAACATGATCAAATCATGAATGTGAGTATTGAGTGCGCAGCTTCGAATAGCTTTGGACTCAGGTCCTCAGCAAGCACCACTTCTACTACTTCGTTTATCAAAACGATCGGGACACTTTCAGCAAGATATGCAACAACTGCATCTTCGAGCAGACCTTGGACAAAGGCCATAAAGACCAACCTACTAGTCATGGCATCCAAAAACAAAAAGAAAAAAGAGAAAAGAAAGAAAGACCGAAAGAAAGGAAAGGAAAGGAAAGGAAAGGAAAAGAGAGGAAAACACAGAAGAGAAGAACAAAAAGACAGAAGGAACACAAAAAACCTTATAGTGATGGCCTCCAACCTATATAATAGCAATGACCTCCCACCTACTAGTGATGGCCTCCAACCTACTAGGTTTGGCCTCCCACCTACTAGCGATGGCCTCCAACCTGCTAGCGATGGCCTCCCACCTACTAGTGATGGCCTCGAACCTACTAGTGATGGCCTCGAACCTACTAGCGATGTCCTCCAACCTACTAGCGATGGCCTCCCACCTACTAGTGATGGCCTC